TGTATTACAATGGATTTCACCTTCTTTGATCCTGGAGAGATTTCAACTCAGCTTCAGTTGGCAATGTTTTAAGTGATATCAACTGTTCCTTCAGATAGTTAGTGGCTGCTGTCCTAATCATCTGCTGGAGTTGAAGAGTTTTCCCCCGGGGTGGGTTCTCAACATCCTTGGTCCCTAGGATGGCTATCTTGTTGCTATCCAAAAGTAATGCGTTATCATAAGAATCACAATACTTAGACTATAAAACAGAAAAATGGGAGCAATATGGGGACTATCTGAACATATGAGAGACACACACATACACCCACCAATACAACACATGCAGCCACATAAGAAAGACACATCATAAGACACAGTGTATACACAATTAAAACATAAGAACAACTCCCATAGCAGATGAATGGCATTACACATGAGTTTTATATATGACATGTAAGATGATAGATCTTAACAAGTTTTAATATATAAATTTTATTATTGAACAACGACGAACACACATTTTATATCATTTTATAAATGGACACTTGATGGCAGGCAGTGCAATGGTTTAATGTGATTGCTACACCTGAGGATGGCAGAGCGATGCCAACAGGACCCTAAAATACAACATTAATAAGAGAGATTCAGTAACAGAAAATGGAGAAAATTAACGAGATTTAAAATTTGTACTCAGTGCCTTATATAGGCACCCATTATTTATGCAACAGCTATGTGTCCAAAAAAATGCTGAAGGTGAAATCGCACAAATTGAACATAGTTTCTCCATATGCATCAATGGAAATATCTGTGATCTGCTACCAAAAGCATGAGAACATTCTTGACAATACTTATACTGATTTGTCTGGTACACTACAATACAACTTTTTTTTTTATTTTAATAATATTTGCATCATTTTAGTATGAATAAGAGCCAGAATAGCGCAGTCGGCATAGTGACTGGCTACGGGCTGGACAACCAAGGGGTCGGAGTTTGAGTCCCGGTGGGGCAAGAACTTTCTCTTTTTCAAATCGTCCAGACTGACTCTGGGATCCACCAAACCTCCCATACAATGGGTACTAGGGGCTCTTTCCCCGGGGGTAAAGCAGCAGGGGTGTGAAGCTGACCACTCACCTCCAACTAGACCTGAGGTCAAGAAAATGTGGATCTATACATCCACTGCCCCATACACCTTCATGGTGTAGTGCTTAATTAGTTAAGCACTGGGACAACTTTATCTTTACCTTAGTATGAATAAACTGTTTATAATTACATGTTTAGTTTGAAATAGATTGTTAGAGTGCTAAGTAGTGGGATGGTATAGCATCCTTGAAATCTGCATAGAAAAGATCTACCAGGCTGGTCAGAGTAGCCGAGCGGTCTAAGGTGTGCACTGTCTTCGCTTGCTCGGAAGCCGGAATCGTGGGTTCAAATCCCACTCAGGGCTTGGATGTTTGTGTGCGTTTTTCTGTGTTTGTGTACAGGTAGAGGCCTTGCGACAAGCTGATCACCCGCCCAAGGAGTTCTACCGTATGTCTAAGATCTAGAAAAACCGAAGTGAATGGAGAAGTTCATGGAGGCAGGCCTAGGCCCACTGGGGCTGTAGTGCCAAGGAAAAAAAAAAAAAGATCTGCCAGTGAATCAAAATCACTTACCCAGTTGTCCTCAAACACATACTCTCTACTGCATTTTTTCACTCATTATTAAAAAACTGTCTTAGGATCTAATAATGAAATAAAATACAAAAAAGCACAAGAATATTAGGAAGCAGAGACATGTGGATCATGGTAATGAAATACTGTACTGAGGATTTCCTTATCCCCTCAAAGCATAACAGAAGATTCACAGATGTCTGGGCCAAATTTTCCTTTCACCCCTTACATTCTTCTTCACTCAGCAAATCCTCTATTATCCCTTCTCCTTGCCTCATTAAATAAGCCAGCAGGAAATTTGCATTAAATCAGATACTATTAATTGAAGTCGGTCTAAAATAGTTAAACACATTAAAATTATATCGTGTTTTTTTAACTTGCATATATCGAGAAGAACCTGTATTGTTAGGGTGACTAAATCAATCAGAACATGATAGGTGAGGCATGTAATGAGACAAAAAAATGCATATAATATATCAATGGAAAACAAGGAGGAAGCCAGAGGTACTGATGGTAAGATTCTATTACCATAGAGATAACAAATTCCTAATATGTTCTGAGGCTTCATGTACAAGGTGTGTCCCAAAAGTTATGAAGTATATTCCTTTCCCGTGCTCTTACTGGTCGGAGCGTGCTGGAACCGGTTGGGTTGGGGGGGAGGCCTTTAGCTTCACAGCGCGCGTCTAAGGTCAGTCTGCTCGAGCATCGGAGGCGTTAGTATCGCTGATTTAGTGCATCTGTGTTCTGTGACCATGTCACGGCACGCGATGGTGGATACTTTCGAACAACGTAGGGCGGTCAAGTTCTGCACAAAGCTCAACAAAAAAGCTGCCGAAACTCATGAACTGCTTAAGCAAGCCTACAGGGAGTCTGCTCTATCATATGTGCAAGTTACAAGGTGCGTGAAGAAGTTTAAGGACGGCCAGGAAGGAGTGGAAGATGACCCCCACTCTGGATGGCCATCAACAAGCCAAACGGATGAAAATGTGACTCGTGTGCATGATTTGTTGAATACTGACCGTCGAATGACTGTCCAGTTGTTAGCTGACACTCTGAACATTCCCAAAACCGTTGTGCATCACATCGTTATGGACTAATTGAACATGCGAAAGGTGTTCGCCAAGCTGGTCCCCAAATTGCTGACGGACGAGCAAAAGGCCAATCGCGAAGCACCACGTGACAACGCTGCTGCAGCCACCCTACAGCCCTGACCTAGCTCCGGC